CCCCAAAACCCCAAAACCCCAAAACCCCAAGAAAGAATATTTAAAGCAAATGTTGGAAATAAATGTTAGAGATCATTATAGTGGTGCACATTGCCTTTTAAGGTAGTCGAGAGATAGCTGATCATCTCCGAGCAGAGGTGTTAGAATATCTTCGCACTATAGATGTAATTAATTAATATATTTTTTACCTGTTTGTGGAAGTTATTGATATAGTCTCTGTCAGCAGGTGATAGTAAAGAAACATCAATAAGATTTCTGCAATAGGGAGTCATAGTTAGGTTCTCAAACTTGAATCTGTTTTCATGCTGAGGATGCTTGACAACCATGATCACGTTCTCAATTCTGATTCCATACTCTCCATCTTTGTAATAGCCTGGTTCGTCTGAGACACACATTCCTTCTTCAAGTCTCACAGTCTATCTTCTGCTAATTCCCTAAGGTCCCTCATGGACGCAGTTAAAAGAGCCGACACCATGGCCTGTACCATGATTGTAATCTACTCCAGCAGCCCATAAGTGTCTTCTTGCTAGAGTATCGAAATCTTAACCAGCAAATGTACCCTTTGATGGCCAAACTACTCTCTCAAGATCAAGAGTTCCAAGTAAAACTCTAGTGTACATTTGTCTCTGTTCTTCAGTTGCCTCTACTCCACCAAAGTGGACAGTTCTTGTAATATCAGTTGTTCCATCTAAGTACTACACTCCAGAATCTAATAGATAAATCTCCTTGTTATTCATTCTAAGAGCAGTGCCTGGCTCAGGCTTGTAATGAATAACTGCACCATTTGGACCAATGGAAGAGATAGTTTCAAATGAGGGACCCTGATAGAGATCTTGAGTTCTTCTGAAATCTTCCAACTTTTCTTGAGCTGTGTACTCGTTGAGTTCAGTCTCTGGACTATTCTTCAAATGATCTTCTAACCAGGCAAAGTATTGAATGAGTGAGACTGAATTCTTAATGTTTACTTTTCTCATGCCCTCCATCTCAACAGGATTCTTGGCAGCCTTAATATGCTCAATAATTCCAGTTTGATTTTCAATGGTTGAATCTTAAAATACATCATAAAGCTTTTGATTGCACACATTCTCATCATATCCAATTTTCTTTTTATCATCTGCTAATTTCTTCAAATGCTCTGAGACTGCTTCATACTCATGTACCTCAATCTCATTTTCCTTAAGATGAGCTTGTACAGTCTCATCTTGAATTTTGGAAGCATTGATAAAGAGCTGAATTCTTCCATGAGTATTTTCCTCGCTGGTAACATGGAATATGAGGTAGGCAAAGAATACTGGATTACATTGAATATCTCTTCCTCTCATGTTGACAACCCAGTCAATATCATCTAAAGTGGTTACAAGTAGTGCATCAACTTTCCCTTTAAGCTTATCATTCACCTTTTGCATCTTCTCTTTAACGGTGAGACCAGCATATTTGACATCATGCACAAAAACTGGAGCTTATGGCATAGGTGGCTTTTCTGCACCCCAAACCTTGTCTACCAAGTTCTCTTGAATTGTGACCATTTCCATTTACTTTTCTTTGAAGTACTTTGATCTGTTCTTGAATCCAGCTAGAGATTATCAAATGAATAGAAAGCTTACCACCCGAGACTTAAGTTGGATCAGCCCCTATCTTAGTACCCTCTGGTAAATTTGAAGTAATCCATTCAAAATAGGTTTATTCACCTGCTTCCATCTTTCTCATCTCCCATCCAGCTTCAAGTTGTTTCTAAGCTTAAAGATAGTATCTGCCATCTGTCCACATAAGTGCTTTATCTTAAGTAACCACACACAGACCATTGCTACCGCTAAATCCTGATATGAACTTCACTCTTTCATCACAGTCAGCAATGTACTCTGACTAATATTTCATTAAAATTAATAAAGCGACTAACAGAATGAGCATCATTATGGAAGACTACATAGACATCTACGCTATGCTACTTCATAAGCTCTCGAAGCTAAGTTAGTTTAGTGTTTTCTTGGGAATCCATTGTTTTTTAGAAATTTATAGATATGATAAATTTTGAATCTTTATCTTTTAACTAACTTAACCAAATTTATCAGCATCTCGGGGTTTTGGGGTTTTGGGGTTTTGGGGTTTTGGGG